GTGAATAATACTCAAGGGTATTCCCAAGGATAAATCTTTGGGTGATAGTACATAGACATCGATCGTGTCATGCGTCTGGTTTGCAGTTTCTGGGATACAGTGTGCAAGCCATGTTCGAGACACGTCCTGACTGCGGCAGGGATGCAACCTGATTTTCAGGAATTTCTAAGTAGTTTGTGGGCATCGTGTGCAGGCCACGTTAGGGACGCATCCTGGCCGCGGTAGGGACGCGATCTTATTTTCAGACATTTCTAGGCAGTTTGTGGGCACGGTATGCAGGCAATATTCGGGACGCTTCCCGGCCATGTTAGGGACGCAAGTAGATTATCAACCAAATGAAAGAAGCACGGTGTGCAGGCCATGTCAGGGGCGCAAGCACGTTCCCAAGCATTCTGGGCAGTTTCTGTTACACGGTGTACATGCCATATTCGGGTTAAGTCATGGCCACGATAGGGACGCAGCCTAATTTTCAGGCATTTTTCAACAGTTTCTGGGCACTGTGTTCAGGCCATGTCTGAGACATAGCCTGATTTTCAGGCATTTCAAGGTAGTTTCTGGGTCACGGTGTGCAGGCCATGTCTAGGATGCATTCGAGCCACGACAGGGATGGAGCCCAACGTGGCCAGGAAGTATCCCGAACATTGCCTGCATATCATGCCCACAAACTGCTAGAAATGCTTGAAAATAAGGTTGTGTCCCTACCGCGGCCAGGACGCGTCCCGAATGTGGCCTGCATACGATGCCCACAAACTGCCTAGAAATTCCTGAAAATCAGGTTGCGTCCCTACTGCAGCCAGGACGTGTCTCGGACATGGCCTGCACACTGTGTCCTGAAAACTGCAAACCAGACACATGACACAATCGATGTCTATGTACTATCACCCAAAGATTTATCCTCGAGAATACCCTTGAGTATTATTCGCTAGATTTTTAGACACATTTCATTTAATGTCATTTGCGCTTCATTTGAGACATTTGTAATTTTTTCACTTATAGGAGGTCAAGTTTATGTCGCCCTCCTTTATGTGAATTCTCATTTCCTATATTATAAAATAAGCCACACTAGTGGTATTTGCCAAAAAAAAAAAAAAGCACCAAACCCTAAAAACCCTAAACCCATAACCCTAAAGACTAGATAGAAAAGTTCACAGAATTCTCAAAAAATATTTGTATTCCATGGCTTGGCTTTATAAAATGTCTCAAAAACAAGGCCTTTTATTGGTACAAAGGATCCAAAATACATTGTATGAACTTAATAGACTAATTAATTACTTTTCCTACGTACTATGAATAATATGATACAAAGAATCACTTGGATACATGATTTAAATAAATGCATTTATATAAATAAACTAATTCATGTATCAAATTTAATTTTTTTCATTATTCATGAATCATGTTTAATTTCCAACGTTCAGAAACCGAGAACTAAGCATGGGCTAATTCGGTTTCCTCTTTTAATTTTCAATTTTAAGTTTAAAATAGAAAATGATTTTAGTTTTTCATTCTGAATTACTATTTCTTAAAATAGAAGATTACATTTGATTTAAAATTATGAAAAATTATTTCATGGATTTTTTTATTTAGTAAAATATATTCGCATTCTATTTTTTAAATGTTGTATAAAATATAACATTCAAATTAACTTGAAATGATATTTTATTTCCAGCTCAAGAAGAAGCGTTGATTCACCAGCCATTGGGTAAGAAATGAGGACACATTTCCTACTGGGATTTCAGCTATTGTCATTGCTTTTCAACACAGTAAGTATCTATTTGCCATTTTATATTTTAGTTAAAAAAAATTATTGTTTGGCTAGACTTTATTTTTGCAAAAAGAAGAAGTTAGTTTTAAGTAATTTTTTAGCTAAATATTTAAAAAAAAAAAAAGAAAAAAAACTATAAATAGTCATGGGAATGCTAATTCATTTCTTGAATTTGTTGAGGGTTCTTTATATGTCTTAGCGATGATGTTCTTAATTATTATGACTTTTTTGCTATCATCCAATAATATATTAATAATCTATTATATTTTTATGTTCAGGTTTCTCAGCAGCCGAGTCAAAACGGCATGTAACACTCTTCTACTAGAAAAGTATATTTGTTAACAGTAGCTTTGAAAGTAAGTGTTCTCTCACAAATTGCCAATTATAACAAGAATTCTTATAATTACTTTAAGACATAATTGCTAGATGTCTTGCACACAATTATTCAAAACCACAGCTATGCACTCTGCATATATTCCTTGATCATAACATAAAGTGATTTCTTTTCCTTCAATACTTCCTTAAAGTTGGAGTGTGAATGTCAAGAACTCAAAATTTTCTAAGTTGTCAATCAAAAACAACTTATTCTAGTGATTTAGTAAATAACCACCTATTTGTTGTCCTATTTCATTGTAGATTATCTCAATTTCCCCACTTTAATTTTTTTTTCTTGTACTGTGTGGTAATCCAACTCAATGTATTTTGTTCATTCGTGGTACATTGGGTTAACAGCAACATGCAGACTCTAGCACTAATACTTCAAGTATAGATATTCATATGACGAAGTCCTCAATTTTGATCCCTCTACTTTGTGTAAATCCTTTAGGAATAAGTCAAGCCTCACAAACTTGTAAGGTGCTATAAGAATGGTATTTAATTTTGATGACCCATTGCCTGCACACCGTGTCCATGACGCGTCTTAGACATGGCCTGCGTCCATGCCACGTCCTGGACATGGCCTACACACCATGTCCCAGAAACTGCCTACAGATGCTTGGAAATCAGGCTACATCCATGCAGTAGTCCCGACGCATCTCGAACATTGCCTGTACACCGTATCTATGACATTGCGTAGAAATACGTGAAAATCAGGATGTGTCCCTGCAGCATTCTGGACATAGCCTGCACACCGTGTCTTAGAAAATTGCCTAGAAATGCCTGAAAAGTAGGCTGCATCCCTGCCGCGGCCTAGAAGCGTCCCAGACATCGCTTGCACTCCGTGTTCCAAAAACTGCCTAGAAATACCTGAAAGTCAGGATACGTCCCTGTCGCATCTTGGACAAGGCTTGCACACGGTGTCCCACAAACTACCTAAAATTGCTTGAAAATCAGGCTTCGTCCCTGCCGTGGCCTTGATGTGTCCCGGACATGGACTGCACACCGAGCCCTAAAATTTTCCAAGAAATGCCTGAAAATCAGCCTACATCCCTATCACGGCCAGGACGTATCCCGGACATGGCCGGTACACCGTGCCCACAAACTGCCTACAAATGCCAAAAAATTAGGCTATGTCCCAACTGCGGCTGGGAGGCGTCCCGGACGTGGCCAAAAATGCCTGAAAATTAGGATACGTCCCTGCCGTGGCCCAGACGCACCCTGGTCGTGGCCTGCACACCGTGTTCCAGAAAATGCCTAGAAATACCTTAAAATTAGGCTGCGTACCTGACGTGTCCTGGACATGGCCTGCACACTATCCAAGAAATTGCCTAGAAATGCCTGGAAATCAGATTGCATCCTTGCCACGACCCTGACATGTCTCGGACATTGCCTGCACACCGTGTTAAAATGGCTTCACTCAAAATTATTTTTTTATTTTCGACTGTCGTGTTTTTGTTGTGTGTTCGTTCTGAAGAAAGAGAGTTTGTAATAGATGGTGAAATAATTTATGGCCAGTTCCATTTTTTGTTGACGAGTTCAACAAATGGGCTGAGAAAACTCGTTTTCAGTTTGGGGATTCTTTAGTTCTGAAGTATGATTCCAAGACTGAGTCAATGTTGAAAGTGACTGAGGAAGACTACAAAATCTGCAACAACGCCAATCAAATAAAATCACACCATGATGGAGAAACTACAATTTCACTAGAAAAATCATGTCTATTTTTCTTCATCAGTGGAGCTGAAGAACATTTCTATAATGGTCAAAAGCTTGAGGTTATGGTTCTGTCCGATAAACATGGCTCCAGCCACCAATCTACAGTACAGAAATTGCCTAGAAATGCCTGAAAATCAGGCTGCATCTCTGTTACAGCCAGGATGCGTCCTGAACTTGGCCAACACACCGTGTCCACAAACTGCCTAGAAATACCTGAAAATTAGGCTGTGTCCCTACATGGCCAGGAGGCGTTCCGGACATGGCCTGTACACCGTCTCTAGAAACTACCCAGAATTACTTGAAAATCAAGCTCCGTCCCTGCCATGGCCCTAACGCGTCCTTGACATGACTTGCAAACCATGACCTAGAAACTAACGAGAAATGCCTGAAAATCAAGCTGCGTCTAGGACAAGGCTTGCACACCATGCCCAAAAACTTCTTAAAAATGCTTCAAAATTAGGCTACGACACCATTGTGGACCGATTGCATCACGGACGTGGCCTTCACACCGTATCCCAAAAACTACCTAGAAGTACTTGAAAATCAGGTTGCATCCCTACCACATCTTGGACATGGCCTACACACCGTGTCCCAGAAACAACCACAAATGCCTAGAAATCAGGCTGCATCCCTGCAGTAGCCCCGACGCCTCCCGAACATTGCCTGCACACCGTGTCCAAGAAAATACATAGGAATACGTGAAAATTAGGATGTGCCCCTATAGCATCCTGGACTTGGCCTGCACACTTGACCCAAAAACTGCCTAGAAATGACTGAAAATTAGGCTACATCCCTGCCGCGATAGGAAGCGTCCCGAACATGGCCAGCACATAGTGCCCAAAAACTGCCCATAAATGCCTGAAAATCAGGTGGTGTGCCTATCGTATTCTGGACTTTGCCTGCACAACATGTCCCAAAAACTATCTAGACATGTCTGGAAATTAGGTTCTGCTTCTGTCGCAATTAGGACGCTTCCCAGGCATGGCTTGTACATCGTGCGAAAAAACTGCCCTGAAATGCTTAAAAGTCAGGCTCCATCCCTCCTGTGGCTCGAATGCATCCTGGACATGGCTCGCACACCGTAACCTAGAAACTATCTTAAAATGCCTGAAAATCAGTCTACGTCCCGGACATGGCCTGAACAAAGTGCCCAGAAACTGTCGAAAAATGCCTGAAAATCAAGCTGCATCCCTGTCATGGCCATGACTTATCCAGAATATGGCATGTACACCGTGTCCCAGAAACTGCCCAGAATGCTTGAGAACGTGCTTGCGCCCCTGACATGGCCTGCACACCGTGCTTCCTTCATTTGGTTG